CTTTAATGGCACAAAGTTGTGTGCATATGTGTGCAGCCCACGCTGCAGGATAAACTTCCTGCTGCAGCTGATCAGCTGTTCACCATTCAGAGCTGAGAAGTGGGTGTGGCCAAGAGCACTTGCAGGTGGCAAAGAGCAAAGGAGGAAGGAGCTGAAATCATGACATTCTGTACTCTTTTCTTAATTCATTCAACCTTTATTTAAACAGGTTAGTTCCACTGAGCCACAAGGACTCATTTACACTCACTGTCCAGAGCGACATAATTAACACACAATTTGCATCTTTAATCTTTTTTCAGCACACATTTTTGTTTCAATTTTGTAAAGTCTTACAAAAAGCTTTAAATGATTTTCACATTTGGCTTTCTTAAAGTTGGATGGCTGTTCATAAAAAGAAATAAACTATTTCACCACTTGCTCTTGCCGAGGTCGGATGCTTTTTCCCCTCCCTCTCCGCTTTGCTTTGCTGCTCTGTCTGTGAAACTGCTTCTGAGCCTCTCTTCATATCTTCCGAACCATAATTATGGACTTGTTTTGATCAGTTGGTCCCTCAACGCAATTATAACATTTCTTCGGAGAGAAGACAGGGTTTAAGCGAGCCGATTGCCCTGTTGGAACGCACGCAGCTGGATATCTCATCGACTTGGAAGACTTTATGATGTGTCTATCTCTCCTGCCATTTGCGGATTTTAAGTACGCATATAATTGGATTTACGATAACTGGTTCCTGCTTTTTTTGATTCGGTTGGTTGCTGGTTTATCTACAAACAAAGAAGTCATCGGCAGCCAATTTGAACCCGATCACGTTGCTTGCCTTTTTGATGGCTTGGTTCGTGCCTCGAGTACCCAGACTCAAGTGCTTTTGGCAGAATGGATCCGATCTCAGGGATTTTACTCAGGCACATTTTTTTGGTGTGGCCATGTAATTTGGACATTTCAGAACCCGAGTGGACCACAGACTCAAGGTAGACGTCATTAAGTTCTGCCTGTTCCCAAAACAACTGTGTGTTTATCTGAATTTGGCTCCTTCAGCTGGCCTTGAAGGCCATCTTATCTGAATTTGCCTGGAGAACATGTAATCATGTAAAACAGTCAAGATGGAAACCATTGATTAAGCTGGTCGCTCCTTTATCCACTAATTTCTAATTAGTTCAGCTCAGCTTTGGCTTCAGAAAGAAGAAATGCATTAAGTAAAAAGAGGACAAAGAAGGCAGGTGAGAGCAGCGTTGGTTACAGAAGCACTGTGTGGAGGCTTCACTCAAACTGTACAGATGTGCATTGCGCACAGATGCACAGTATATAAATGTAATGTCTTGGCTGCATTTTGACCAATCAAGCTCTTTAGGATGGGAAAGCTGACTTCATATCAGTAAAAACATTCTGTTCTGCTGAGCGAGCTAACCGTTCAGAAGACAGAATGGTTAAATTGAATAATGCAGGGCTTTTTGGGCACTGCCAGCTCCCGTTTGCATCAGGGTGGGCAAAAAATAGCAGAATCTGAATTAATGATTTAAGTGGTAAAAAGCGGCTTTTGTTTCACTCATAATGCTTTTAAATCTGCAACACTGTTAGAATAGACTGAATAAAAGCGCAGGGCATGACGTATGTGCTGCATTTAGAACAGAACCCCCTCTGCCCCCCCCCCCCACTACACACATTATTTATTGTTAATGAAGTTAAACTTACTGATATTGATAACTTCTTCAAAAGAATATACATATACATATACATATACATATATATATATATATATATATATATATATATAGTATATATATAAGCTTGCTGTGAGCTGGAGAAGTTAGGATCACAAGTGGTGTGCTGATGTCCCCCATCCCTGAGGGATTTGAATAGTAAATGTTTGTAGTTTTGGAGACAAGTGTTTTTCTGGACTGAATATGACCAGGGAATGCAAGTAAACCTTAATGTTTTTGGTGCAAGATATTCAAGTAGTTAGAAGTACACTGTGTAGAAGAACAGATGTAGATTTTTATTATTTTACTTTTCTGAGGTGGCACAGAGTTATGGATCCTGACGAGAGGAGGGAGAAATTTTATCCACCAGATGGCTATGGTGGAGGGGCTCGTTGGTGAGCGCCTGGTGACCGGGTCTCTACCCATGGGGCCTACCACCTGCAAGAGGGGCCATACGAGTCAGTTGCATAATGTCATGGGCAGTGGCTGAAGGCTGGGCCTTGGCTCTCTGATCCTTGGCTCTCTGATCGAGAGGGCGTAGGAAATATTTGAGAGGCACAGAAAATTGCAGGAAAACCTATTTGGTGAGTACTCCCCTCAACATATCACAGTACACCCATAAAGTTTAATTCTATTCAGTCACACCTTTAGTATGATGCAGTTTATCCTTTGTTTATTTTGTATGTGGGTTACTTGCATAGGAAAAAATAAAACTGTCAACTTTAAGTCTCCTGAAATACTGGAAAAGATGGTTACTGTAACTGCTTCCTGTATGAGTAGATCAAAGGAGGTGGATAAGTCTGGGCAAAAACATTAAATCTTGTGTTTATTGTTGGATTTTAATATTAGAGAGCAAGATCTGTCTTAGCTAGAATAATTTGTTTAGATTAGCATCTCTGTTTGAACTAAATGACTGATTTTCACCCAGAATACACCTGAGAACTGAATTAAGAATTGTATCTTTGTGTGAGGGGAGATTATTCATTTTCAAACACACTGTGAATGAGTGTCACAGAGGAGTGTCTGAAGCTGAAAAGATCTAAGATACCAAATTAATCTATTATGAATGACAGAGACTTCACAGACTTGTGCATCACTCATACAGAAAAATCTGCTATTACGATGGGCTGTCACATGCTTCAGCAGCCCCGTTGTCTACCAATCTGAACGGTCGGGTTGTTTAAAATGCAAGCAAGCTCCCAAATGTCTGAAATAGAGCAGATTTTACTTAAAATGCCTGCCTGCATTTCTAAAGCTCCACCCACTGGGGTTTACTGTGACTACTAAAATTATTCCTACTAGTAGGATGAACTCAGAATTCAGATGTTTGAGACGGACTGGATTGACCAGATTAAACACATCTGCAGCGTTTTTCCTAAAGTTTGCGTGCTAAACAGTTTGCACTTTGACCTGTAAGTCAGTAAAACTCTAGTTTTTATGAAACTTGCAGAAATAAGTCATTAGATGTACATCTACAAAAGATTATGATCACGATGATGCTCAGTCCAATTCAAGATGGCCACCACAATCAGCATAAACCAAGACAACAGTACCATATATGACACACTATATGCTCATCAACAAACCATTATACAGCGATCTATAGCAATGGTCCAAACGAAAAGATTTTGTATAACCTTTGACCTTGAGTTGTGATGAAAAGTCTTTGGGTCACTCCATCTGGTGATGATGCATATGTGCATGAACCAACAATTTTCAGTCAGGTCATATGGACAATTTATTTTTTTGTGCCGAAACGTTTCACCTTCCACCCAGAAGGCTTCATCAGTCAAGAAATCACACAACACAAAACTGATTCTTCCCCCAACAGCTTACTCCAAAGTGGAACAAACCAGTTCTGTTGGTGCTAAGATGGTCTCTTTGGCACGCCCCCTCCTCCGGTGCAGACCCTCTTCCTCATCAACAGTCGTGTCAAAAAGGTTCAAAACCAACAAAGTCCATGCTCAATAATCCAGGTATACAGTCCAACAATTTTCAGTCAGGTCATCTGTGCGTGAAGTTTCGTTAAATTATCTTAAGCTGATCAGAAGTTATGGGTGGGTGAAGACAATGTTTACCATCTGTAAGGATGGTGCCATCTGGTGGGCCTTATCTGTACTCACTAGTGTGTCTCCTCATTACTCCTGATTTGTTTCTCCCTTGTGTCATGCCAGCTGTTTGTAATCATGCCCTGTCTTGTCTATGTATTTAAGTCTGTCTGTGAGTCTTGTTCATTGTTACGTCGTCGTTGGGTCTACCGAGCGGTTTCGGATGTTATCGGTCCATTAAATGGCCTTTATTAGTTGTTATAATCCCCATATGTAGCGGTCAAACTGTCCTACCTACCTCCTAGTAGGTTTAAAGGTACGTTATTATCGTTATTATTGCTATAATAGGCAGCATCACACAGGGGTAAACCAGGAAGTGTCTTTTTTGTTTTTTTTCCAGCTTATGCAACCCTTTTCCTAAACGTAAGCTTACACCTGACCCAGAGGACCAACCCTAAACTTAACCCCCTTATCCTTGTGCCTAAACCTAACCAAGACCGTAAACCTAACCGCCAGACCCTTTACTGTAAACCTAACCACGTGAAGCTCTTATGAGCAGTAACAAAGCTAAAAACAGAGCTTATTATCATCGCTAACAACGTACCTTTAAACCCAGTAGGAGGTAGAGGAGGGGCAGTCTGACCACTACATATGGAGATGATAATAACTAATAACGGCCATTTAATGGCTGATAACATCCGAAGCGGGTGGTCTACCTCATTTTGTCCTGTCCAGTCTGACCTGTGCCTTGTTCCCAGTTCTTTAAGTCTGCTGCCACATCAGCCTTTAATTTATTATTATTAAAAGTATTTATTATTATTAAAAGTATTTACTTTTGTACCTTCTGTGTCTGAGTCCCTGCCTGCACCACTGGGTTCGTTCTTGTCTGAAATCCTGACACAATCAGAGACTATACCATAATACGTCCTGCATTCAACTGATGTATTAAAATGGCTATTACTTAGTCCAGTTTACAACTACTGAGAGAAAATTTGAGGTTGTAGTAGCCAAGAAGCATTCCCAACACATACTGTACTCTTGAGCAGGGGTGCCCGCACTTTTTCAGCATGAGAGCTACTTTTAAAATGACCAAGTCAAAATAATCTACCTACTATAAAAATATAAAACATATACAGGTATGTATTTATAAATATATCAAGTATTCTTTATTTGTACAATATATGTTGATGTACCGTGTTGATGTACCTTGCATAATCGTTGCATAACAATACAACTCTGTACATTTTTTGCACCTTACTCTGATGATTTGCACTGAATGGAATCAGCCAGGGATGCATAGTCCGGACAGTGGTTGCTGATAGCCAGCTTCAAGCACACTTCCAGATGATCATCAGTCATGGTGGAATGGTATTTGAACTTAATAATCTTCATGTGGGAAAAGGCTGACTCACATGAATAAGTGGAGCCGAATAACGCATTCAAGGAGGTAACACATTTCCTCATGTTGGGGTACTTTTCCTCTGTGAGTAAATTCCAGAACTGACCATGAGCCCTGGATGTAAACTGAATGTCAGCTTGTAGTGTCAAAATATCCCTCCAGTCCAGAAAAGTTTAGGTGAAACAGTATGCTGGTGAAGATTCTCAGTCATCCAGGACATGATGAATTCAAAAAGCGTTCAATACAAAAACAACTGGACTTTATTTGTAACAGAAGACGTTTCGCTCCTAGGTGAAACAGTGTTTCAATCTTGATGCAAGTGAAGTAACCTCTGCATCTTCCCACAAAGGGTAGCATATGAATGTAGCGACTGGCTCCAGTAAAACAAAGTCTTGAAAGCGTTTGTCAAACTCTGACAGACAGTTTTTAATCTGCTCTGTGTAACGTGCACCGTCAAGTTGCACACATGCCTTTCCTTGTGTCTCCAGCTCTGATGTGAAGTTCTTGAAGTTTGCCAAATAACAATAAATCCATTTCAGCGACCAACCATTGTGGGCACTCCATCCCTGGTGATGGACACCAGTTTATACACTGGGAGCTGCTTGTGGGACTCAGTTTTCTGTGGCTCCTCGGACTGATGAAGTCCTTTGGATGAAGGACGAAACGTCTCAACAAAAAAAAAAGAAACCATCCAGATGACCTGACTGAATTTTGTTAGATTTTTTTACCTGGATTATTGAGCATGAACTTTGACACTGGGAGCTGAGTTTCCTCACTGAACTTTTTGAAAGACTTAAAAATGTCCTCTCCTCACGTGTGTTCTTTCATGAGCAGTACTGTTGGCTCCTCTTTTGCAATCGTATCAGTGAGCACCATCCGGATAAAAATGCACAATGGGGCTGTGTCACTGACATCTGTAGACTCATCCAATTACAGTGAGAAACACTCGCAGTCCACGATATCCTTCTAAAGTAGTTGGGTCAAATACTTGGCCATGGCTTTACAGTGCCGTATAACCATACTTCTTGATACCTGGAGAGCTTTGATAAAAGATAATATTTCTGGTTTGTTTTTAAAGTCTCGGAACAAGTCAGCTGTTTCAACAAATGCCTCTTTTACTATCTCTCCATCTTGAAAGGACTTCTTGTGTTTAACAATTAAGTGAATCACCCAGAATGATGCTTCGGTAGCTGCCGTCGCTTTTGTGGTCCGCTGTAAGAAAAATGACTGCTGTCCGGATCACTGGGATTTTAGTGCCTTCACCTTTTTCTTTCTCAGCTCGCTTTTTGGAAGGAAGTCAGTGTCGTACTTTTTTATGAACAGTCTGAAAATACTGCTCCACATTTCCCTTATTCAAATATGGCTATGTGTCAAAAAAAGTCCTCCTTCCATTCCGTATGGAAATGGTAGTTTTTTTTTTTGCTTCTTACTTGGTCCAGCTCCCCCACTCATTTTATATCCTTTCTTGAGTTTAGAAGAAATAAATTGGAAGCTAACTAGGCAAGATAGTAGCTTGCTAGACTTTTTTTGCGCGGTTGTATGCACATGTGTGGTGACCCATGTGTCAGAAAAGGTCAGATGTCAGACTGGCTGCTCTGTATGTCAATCAAGTGACAAATGTCATAGTGAGGATGGATGATAGGCTAACATCTATTTTTTAAATGCCATACAATTTATCTATACTACCTTTGCAATCAACCGGTAGATCACGATTGACGTATTGGGCACACCTGCTCTTGAGTGTGATATCTCACTATAATGCATGAGATTGCACATTACTCCTTAGGTTTGACAAAAATGGTTACAATCAATTGAAAACTCCTGCATGAAATATTTGATAGGCCTTTCAGTAACTCTGCCACACACTGATCAAAGCGATAAACAAGGAATGAAAATGGGGCAGAAAGTGTGTGTTTTTTAAGAAAGAAACCCATGTAAAGATCTCTGCAACATTACCTCTCATCTCCCACAAGGTTTTCAGGAGCAGCAGCTCAGAGCAAGCAGCAACTAGAGCAGAAGACAAATGAGCCCAAAGTACTAGGTGACTAAGAGAGCAATTGAGAACACGTTGGGTGGTGCACACAAGAAGAAACGCTGAGAGACACTTCAATAAATGGATTTATAGACTCATTCTTATCTTCTCATAGTGGAAGAGCAACTGAAAAGGACCCTCGTAGGACATTCAGATTTTAATTAAATATATGAAAAGACGAAAGTAACAGCCTTTCAACAACTTGTTATATTACAAATAATCCACACATTCAGAACTCCTCTCAGATGAAAAACTGCTCATGTGACCTTCAAATGACTACAAAGAACCAACGCTGAGAATGCAAAGTGTGTCAGTTAATCACAGCTGATTAGCAATATTATATTGGCTGTGATGGCAGAGTAATTTGGTGATTTATAAATATCACAGAGAACTTTGGAATCGTCTTGCCTGTGGAGCGTTCATCAGTTGGGATGGAAAGCAGCACCTTCAGTTCCAGGAGGGAAGATAAGCCATTAAAGCTGTAATAATTAAATTTATGGGCTGCCTGAGGGCAGCAGAGCAGAAAACTCAACACTGACTTTATCACCCAGGTGGGGTTAAAGCAGGGATGTCCAAAGTAAGGCTTGAGGACCATTTGTGGTCCTTAAGAGTGATGTTGTGTGGCCCACAACTGCAAATTAAGAATTGTACAATTGTGTCTCGCAGGCTTAAGCATTTGATGCAGATGTAGACCTTCTGAAATTTAGTGGTGATAATTTTTATACAATTAGGTTTATCTGGTGGGAGTATGTGTTGAGACTGACTGTCTGCTACTACTACACCAAACATTAGCTCAAGAACGGTAAAAACTCACAAAGGTATAGCCATTTATGTGTAGGCTAAGGTCGATCACTTGTGGTGGCCATCTTGAACTAAACTGACCTCTAAGGGTAATCACAACTGTAGATGCACATCTAAAGATTTATTTTTGACTCTTTCATTAAAAGTACTGCATGCAGCACATTATACACCCATAAAAAACCCATTATACAGCAACAAGATAAGATACGAAAGAACTTCATTGATCCCGCAGGAAATTAATACAGCAATCAATAGCAATGGCCCAGGCAAGAAAATACCTTGTAAAATGTATGACCTTTATTTGTGACATTGACCCAAAATCTGGGGTAATGAAAAGTGTACGACACTCCATCTGTAATGATGCACAAATGTCCAAGGTTATTCTAAATTATCTTGAGCGGATCAGAAGTTATGGGTGGGACAAGAGCAAGTTTACAGACAGATAAAGACTATACAATAACATCCACCTTTGAAGGACGTATAAAAATAGTTCACGGGTTCATGAGACTACAGTCAATTCATTCCAATTGTAGTACAATATACTGACTTACAGTAAAGTGTATGTAAATGCCAATTAATAAAAGGTTGTCTTTCCAAGTTGATCAGCACAGTGAGTCAAATTTTCACTTTGGCACATCCTATCCTAAGTAATCACATGAACAAAAACTAAAACTAAAGCAAAATGTCCAAGCTCATGAAGTACCATCAAATCTACAATTGTAGTACGTGTTATCTTTTTGAGTTTTTGATTGTATCAAGCCTGGTTCAAGGAATTTGTACTAGGGCTGGGTACCTTTCTAAAAAAAAAAAATCAATATTGGAACCAATGTCGGCACCTTCACTTCAGTGTCGGTTCCTGGACTGTTCTTTTTTCGGTACCAGTTTTGTAATTAATATTAATTCTAACAAGAATAATATTACTTTACACATTACAGTACAAATCGTGAGTTTTATTTTTTAACTTTGGTATTTCTATTCAAAACAGTTTTCTTACATAAAAATAAACAATTTCCAGGTCAAAAGAACAGTTTCAAACCAGTGACACGTCAAGTGTCTAATGCTCACTGAGGACCTTTTCACTTAACAGTTTTTCTTCAGAAACAACATGTCTTCTTTCTCTGGACACAAACAAGCACGCTCCTGGCTGATGGTGTCTCCAGCAGTAGAACATGTTCACTCTGAGGGTGTGGATGATGCTTGTTGCACACAGATACCTGGTTGCCAGTTTGACAGCATTGGCATAGTGTCCCTCACATTCCACCAGCAGGTCACTGGATTCACTGAGGTTAGGGTTGATGCAGACTGCTGTAGCTCTGTGTCTCTTCCTGAATCTTCTCTGTGGTTCTCTGGGGTTTAGTGCTCCTATCTCCCTAATTGACATGAGAACAAAACATCAACAATAACATGGTTGTGTTATTATTGCTCAAAAAACATAATCTAAGCTGAGAGACAAAGGTTTAACTGGTCAACAAAATCCTTTAAAGTTTACTTACCTCCACCATGGAGCCTCCACTGTAGAAAAAGGCAGCAAACTTTTAACAACAAAGTTTGTGACTGTCCTGTGTCCCCCACCTCGCTTTTCTTTTGTTTGTCTCTGTCCTCACATCTGGGTCAGAGGCTCCTGCGAGGAGAAGATTAACAAACAGTGAACATTAGATGAACTGTTTAAGCAGCTGACCAGATGGATGAGCGTATTTTTACAAGCTAAGCTTCATCTGTTACTGTCAATCTTTAGTTAGATTCTGAGTTTAGCTAGCTACGTAGATAAAATAAAGCTACACACTAATAGCTTAAAGTTAAGGTTACATGGCTTCTAGTTTAATTCATCGCAATGCACGTATTAAGCTGCAGTAACGTTAACAAACGTAAACTCACCAGCTGAAACCCAGACACAGCTCCGTCCTCCGAGTTCTTTGATGAATAGGAGTCCGGTCGTGGAGATAATGAATCAGGCCGTTCATGCTCTCTAACACGCACAGGCTGACTTTAATGCTGAGAGAGGAGGAGGGGAGGCTGCGGTTCTCTCTCCTTGCAAATACGGAGCAACTTTCTGCTCGTAAATTGAAGCCATTCGACAACATACATGCTGCACACGTGGACTCCGTCTGTGGGCGTAACCAGCACCAT